CACACACACACAGGCCCTGCTCGCTCACTCACCTCCAGTAAACCAGCACAGCGATGAGAAGGATGAGGCACACGAAGGTCAAGGCTGACACCACAATCAGGGGGATGATCCACTCCATCCTCCCCGGGGAAGGGCGGCTTACCATCCCAGAGGTGTTCTTTTCTGCTGCAGAGAGAGACCATGCCAGTTAGAGGACAGAGCCGGCAGGGAGGGGCGCCAGGGTGGCCAAGTTCTGCTCCGGGGTGGGTGCCCATGCAGACCTGGGCTCCGCGCTGACTGCCTGGTGACAGGAGGGGCACCTGCAGCCCACACACGTCCTACCAAGTCCAACCCAAACCCAGCCTTTCCTGCAGACAGCACCTGCACCACCAGTGGGGTGGGTTTGCAGGCAGAGTTCAAGGTGGTTGTAAGGAGAGCTGCGGAGACAGGCACCCCACCTCGCTGCAAGGACGTCGCTGAGCCAGAGCGGCCTGGACACTGGGGAGGCGTGGAGCCTGAAGGCAGCAGCACCCGCACCCCAGGAGAGGCCGGCGCCTCTGGGCTCGCTGGCGCAGGGCAGGAGAAACGGCACGATGGCTTTGCTACATGAACCGGCTCTGAAGACAATGGTTATGAATATTCTCTGGGAGCTCAGCAGCCATCACCTTCCCCTAATAACAGCACCCAATTCTGCATTGGGGAGCAGACTCTCCCTAACAGACAGTCATGGAGGGGCCCCCAGTGTCCCAGCCGAGGTGAGTGTGGCTGCAGCAAGGACAAGGGTGCTCCGGCCCTGGAACCTCAGCCGCTCGGTGAGCACAGCACCCAGCCCAGCCCAGCCCAGCAGGAGCCCCCGCCCCGCTCCCTGGGCAGCCCTCAGTCTTCAGCACCCTGAGCCCTGGAATTCCTGTCTCTCCAGCGTTGCCTTTGATGGCATCACCCTCCCCCACCCGCCTGAAAGCTCTAAGCAGCGGAGGACGCCCTGCCCCACACTGCCCAGGCTTGGGGGTCCATGCGAGGGGTCCACAGGGGAGTCAAGCCTGCCTGCTCTTACCCAGCAGCACCTGCCTGTCTCGGGCCTGGGGGTTTTGGGGGGAAGGGGAGAGCCTGCTCTCGCATGGCCTGGGCAGGTGTCTGGAAGCCTCCAGGTGGCCCAAATGGAGCGCAGGTGTGGTGCGGGGCTGGGTGAGCAGAGGTGAAGGTGGGAGGCGGGTGGTGAGAAAGCCAAGGTTAACTGTGACTGCAGAGAAGCCGCCGGACAGATCCAAAGCCGGCTCAGGCTGCCGTACGCTCGCCAGGACTCCTGCGCTGGGAAAGGAGGCCAGCCTCCGCCAGCGAGTCCCTTTCAGGACGGACTAGAGCAGTGGTTCCCAACCTTGGCTGCACGTTAGAATCACCTGGGAATCTTGTTAAAATCCTGATTTCTGGGCCTCCTCCTCCGGAAATTGTTTCTTTGTTACTCATGTTGTGGCCCCACCCCATAACAAAGAAACAGAATTTCCGGAGGATGAGGCCCAGAAAACAGGATTTTAACAAGATTCCCAGGTGATTCTAACGTGCGGCCGAGGTGGAGAACCAGTGGACTAGAGGGAGGGCTAATCAGGCTGCGTTTCTGAGCGAGAGGAGGTGGCCGAGCAGAGAGGGACAGCGGCCTTGGGAGCACATTTTTAAAGAGGCCAGGCCCCCGAGTAAGGGAGTGTCGCAGCCTCCACCGGTTCCCTGGAGCGCCGCTGGTCTGGGTCCCCTCCGTCTCCTGCCGGGCCCTGTGCGCAGGCAGCGCCTCGTGAAGCGGGCAGCGCCCCATTTCTGCCCAGCTCACGGGGAGGAGGCCGGGCAGGTGGGCACACCCGATTAAACCACAGCAGAGCCCTCTGGGTTCGTACCTGCCTTCCCTCCGGCAGCCACTCCTCCGCACCCACAGCTGCACACGTTTTGTTGGACAGGCACACCTCGGAGCCACTACGGGTTCGGGTCCAGACCCCCAAACTAAGGGAGTATCACAATAAAGCGAGTCGCAATCTTCCTGTCGGTGGAGAGTCTTGCCTTCAATTTGTAAAAAAACACAATAACCCCGAAGAGCAATGAAGCGAATCGCACAAAGTGAGGCCTGGATCTGCCAAGCCCTACTGTGTGCAGGGCCTGGTGCTCGGGGCTGCGGATGCACCAGAAAGACGCAGGCGGGGCGGGGGGAGGAGCACAAATCATTTAAAGGCGGAGAGAGGCAGACACAGGAGCGAGCAATTAGAATAAAGGGAAGGGGGAACAGCTGCTCTAGCCCAGGGGCTCTGGAGGGGGCTCCCTGATGTGAGGGTGAGACCTGGGCGTGAGCCAGGCCGAGGGCAGGAAGGACGGGGTCCAAACAGAGAACTGAAGGGGTGGGAGTATGAGAACGAGGAGAGGGGACCAGCTGCAGAGTTAGAGGCCACGTCAGCCAGGGCTTTGCTGGCTGAATTGAGAACAGGGATTAGTCCCAGGGCAATGGAAGCGTCCATTCTCCCTCCATGTATCCCTCTCATAGCAAAGCTCTGGGGACGGGCCAGAGACATCAGCTGCAGATGAGAAGAATTTGTGGGGCTCCAGCAGGGGGAGCCAGACGGGCAAGTCTCTCAAAGACCTGAGCTCCTGGGCACCAAAAATAGGGCAGGAGGCCGACGCTATAGGCCACACGCCCAGGGACCTCAGAGTCCACCCGGGCAGGGCCTTGCGTCCCGGAGGGACCCCCAGTGTCACACCTCCTTACTCTACAGGGTAGACGGTGGGCAGAATGCAAACCCCAGGTGCTACTCATCTTACCACTGAAAGGGGCTCTTGGCCCGAACAGCCCCTTCACACGGACCTCTCTGTGGGGCGCACATCTCTGTGGGTGCAGATGAAGGGCTGCTGGTGGGCGCGAGAGAGAGAGAGAGAGAGAGAGAGAGAGAGAGAGAGAGAGAGCCTTTGTCTGAACCATCTTCCAAGTGAGACCCCGGGGAAGGTGCGGCTAACCTCCCAGAGCACCTGCAGGGGCGAGGGAAGTGGCCACCCCGTGGGCAGACAGCTCTCCTTCCTCCAGGTTCCCTTTCAGAACCCAGGCAAGTGCCTCCACTCTGCCTTTTAAAAAAATTTAAAAAAAAAAGAAAAGAAAAACAGTTTTCAGTGGCATATGTCATCGCTGAATTAATGCTGTTTGCCTTTTCCTGGCTTGGCTCTCATCCCAGTAGCAGCACATAGAAGCGGAGAGCACTGCACTGTGGATGCCGCGGGCGGAGGCGTCAGATGGACCCGACACGCTGCCCGCTGCCCGCTGCCCGCGCCGCAGGAAGGGCGCGCTCCCACGGCCGGACAGCAACCCGACGTCGGCAGGACTAAAGGGGCTCGGTGCCCACGGCCCACTGACCGGGGGGAGGACGCAGGATTCCTTCCCTTTTCCAGAAAGATCCAGGGCGGGACAAGCCGCCCACGCGTAACTCTCTAGCCTGGTTCCATCTCGGGCAACTTGACTGCATTTGTTCTGAATGAAAACCACCCTCATCTGTGAATTAAGGCGGCTGCTTTCTACAACAACTGTGGTAAAAGACACATAAAAGCTCCCATTTTAGCCCTTTCTGAGAGTCCGGCTTAGTAGTGTGGAGTATATTCACACAGTTGGGCAACCAGTCTCCAGAACCTGTTTTAATCTGCAAAACAGAAGTCTGTCCCCATTATCTGCCCTGCCCCCCCCCCTCCTCCTCCCCTGCAGCCACCACTGTACTTCCTGTCGCCGTGACTGACTGCTCTGGGCACCCGGGTAAGTGGAATCACATGTACTTGTCTCTGTGACTGGCTCATGTCACTTAGCGTGAGTTCCTCAAGGCTCATCCGCACGGAGCATGTGCTTCTGTAAGGCTGAATAATATTCATTAGAATCTAATGACTGGGTGTACGTCCCACAGTGTGTCTACTCACTCATCAGGGCACCTGGGTGGCTTCTCTCGTTGGCTTCTGTACATATTGCCGCTAGGAGCATGAGCACCAGTGTCTCTTCAAGACCCCGCTTGCCTTTCTTTCGGGTGGGTACCCTGATGTTGGATCACAGAGTAGTTCTAGTTTTGATGTTTTGAGGCACCACCACCCTGTTTTCCATAGTGACTGACCAGTCTACACTCCCACCCACAGTGCACAAGGGCTCCGACTTCTCCACATCCTCTCCAGCACTTGTCATTTTCTGTTTTGCCTTGTTTTGCGTTTTGATAGTAGCCCCCCTAACAGGTGTGAGGTGAAAGGCGGCTGCTTCTTTAAGGGGCCGTGGCATTTGTCTCTATTGCTCTCGGGCCCTGACGTTCTGTAAACCACTGTTGCAGAGACGTGACTGTCGGTGACAAGTCCACACCCTCCCCTGCGAGGGGACCCTGGTTTGGGTTCCCATCACCTGAGTAGGAGCAGGGCCCCCCGTTTCCATCCCAACCCTCCCTGGAGTTCTCGTAAACCCCACGCCTGACATCCCCCGGAGCCACCTCATCACAGACAATCAGCTGCAGTCTGGCAGGTCTGCTTCAACTGGGTGTTGGAACACGAGGGCGTTCAGTAAATTCCAGGCTGGTCCCGAGTCCCCCGGCAGGCACTGCAGACACAGGTGCCCCACCATCAGTCTGACGGCAGCTGCGAGCTGCGTGCCTAACACCGCAGGTCAAACACCCTTTCACACTGCGCCCCTGACTGTGCGCCCCTGACTGTGCGCCCCTGACTGTGCGCTCCGAGGCCCCGCGCTCTGCAGGTGCCTGGGTTCCCACACAGTGAGACATATGATCTGCCCTCGGTTGACGAGCCCCCAGCAGGGTGGGAACTTCCAAGGACCCAGCTACTTTCTGGGAGGAAACTGCCACACTGGCTCCGAGTGGCCCCCAAAGCACGCCAAGCGGGCTCCTCCTCTCACTCCGGGAAGCATCTCCCACAAAGGGAGCCGGCCAACAGCACCAGCCCGGCTGCAACGGCTTCAGGCGGTGATCACGCAGGGGTCGTGGAGGACCCTAACTCCTCCCCCATCTCCACGGGCCTTACCACGACTTGTTTTTGTCCTTGCATGAACGACTCTTGTTTCCCTCACATCAACTTCTCCGAAAAGGAAACTTTCTGCTAATCCTGTGCATCAGGCTCTCAGCCACGGCCCAGCCGGCATTCCGGATGAGGTCTGTGCTGTGGGGACCGCCCTGCGCACTGTCGGGTGCAGC